ACCTCTCCCAAGCAATCATAAGAATCATCTCTTTCTACAGAATTTAATAGAATACTGGATGGTTAAATCACTGTGCTTAATTCATAGGAAACCAACCGAAGTTTGTTTCTATAAAAACAATAAACTAAAAAGAGAGCCTTGAATCTTTGTCTAATTCATCAAAGTGTAATTACAGTTCTACTGTCTGACTCATTCCCCTTTACAGTCCAAAGATAATTTCTGTGGTATATTATTATACATTGAAATAGGATAATTGCTTTTCTAAAATATATTCACATAAAAATATGTAGGTAAGTTCATAATGTACCTAAAATCATGGATATTATCATTATTGCTCTTTATTGTTAAATTTGAAAGCAAAAGTTGAAAATATTTATAAAAAGAAGAGGCTCAGTAATCCTTAATTAAATAGGATGACCAACTATCTTAGTTTGCTCAGGACTGAGAAGTACTTAGGGTTTTTAGTTTTAAAACTGGGACAATCCCAAGCAATTTTTGTATTAAAACCAGGTCAGTAAGAGGAAAATGGGTACAAGTTGGTTACCCTCAACAAAGATAAAATAGTGGTGGAATGAAGACTGTTTTGGGGAAAGGTACTTTGAAAAACATCTTGTTCTTGCACTTTAGGATTTTCTAAATTTCTCCTCTTTCTACTTTCACAACTCTAAAGTCAAGCTAGTTAATATTAAGAACCCTTTTATCTCTCTGGATCCAGAACCAAGACAGTAGTAACACTCAGAAGTCCTTCTAAGGCATTGAGGGATAGAGGATTGAGTTCTATATTGAATGGTCAAGAGTCAAATTAAGTCTTTGCCATTCATTAAGCAGGTGATTCTGTACCTCTGTTTTCTCAAATATAAATAATAATAATAATAATAATAATAATAATATCCAACTTGTTGGGTTGTACAAACGTGCCTATTTTGCATTAAAAATGCCAAGAAGTTTTTTAGTTTTATTGTGGTCTTGATTATTATTAGCAACTTGGTCCAAGCCAGTATGTTGTGGCAGTACTAGTAACCTTCATATCTAAAGTCTTAGAAGTACTTGTTTGTTTTAGCAATTTTCTGCAAAGTTTGGCTTCCATCATCTAAAACGTTCAGCTGTATTTTTATTTATTTATTTATTTTACCTGTTCAAGATATATACATAAAATGGCAAGAGAAAGTTTCAAACTTAGGACTCTTCTAGGAAATGAAGCCTCAGTTGAATGGACAAGTGGATAGTGAAATTACCAGTGTTCTCTTTAGGTTAATTATGTTGTTCGTGAAGGATGCTAACACACTTCATTTCTTCAAATAACTACTTTATTGAATATCTCATGAAATGATCCTGAGATTCCATTTAGAAAGGCATGGCAATATTTATTCTTAATCATGAGGATTGGTTGCAAAACTTAAGAGCATATTGGAGTTTAATATGCCACAGTTTGGCCTGGTATCAGCAGAACTTTGCTTCTATTAAAGCTATGGCAAAGGGAGATTGTTAAAAGCAGATTGTGATTTAACTGAGAGATTCCAGAATATGAACTTAGATCTTTCAAAATGGCATTGTTTTAAACATCAAGGTTTCATCCTCTCTAGACAGTGAGGGGAGGAGGAAATCAATCATGTATTACACTCCACTCTAGATTTGTGATAGTCACCTCCTACTGAGAAGAAAGTAGATTTGTGTTTGACCTTTGGTTTTTTATTTTAACCAGTTAAATTTACAAATGTTAGAATCACTCAAATGTTTGACTGATAGAAATATGGTCCCTTAAAATCTTAAAAACCTGTTAAAACCATGATTGAAAAAAAATGTTGATTTTTAATAATGAAAGAGCCAGGTGCGGTGGTACATGCTTGTAATTCCAGTGACTCAGGAGGCTGAGGCAAGAGGATCCTAAATTCAAAGCCAGCTTCAGCAATGACAAGGCACTAAGTGAGAGCAGTCTCTAAATAAACTCAGTGAGACCCTGTCTCTAAATAAAATACAAAAATAGGGCTGGGGATGTGGCTCAGTGGTTGAGTGCCCCTGAGGTGATCCCCAGTACAAAAAAGAAAAAAAAAAAAAAAAAAAAGCAAGAGAAAAACTGCAAATTCTGAATTTTGTATAATTAGAAAGCTTTTAAGGGAAAATCAAATTGTTTTTCATATTATAGGCTAACATGATATATTGTTCTATACTATATCTTGAACAATATATTCTATATCTTGAACACCTTTTTAAAGTGTAAGTCATTTGTAAGTGTTGCATCTTTTCAGTCATTTAATTTCTTTATTTTTTATGACAGTTCTGATTCTCAGTATTAGATTCATTGTGGAACATATTTTTTTAAATTTTAATTCTAATTTATTTATATATGATAGCAGAATGAACTGCAATTCATATTACATATATAGAGCACATTTTTTATATCTCTGGTTGTATACAAGGAATGAGATGAACATCATTAGGGAACATATTTTGTATCATAAAAATTGTATTTAAAATGACAGTGCAGCATGTATACATCCTATAGTTGTGTATAATTATACTAAATAGTGAAAGTATTTACATGATTCAATGTTAAAATCTCACTTTTGATTAAAATCTCTGAAGTTTTTTTAATCTTTGGGGTCAAAATGTGTACAAATGAGGATGAATCTTCTCTACTTTGTTCTGCTCACAGACATTAAATAACCTCATTTAAGCCTCAGTGAACTCTGAAAACAAAGCCTTGCTTAGCAATTGATTGATGATGTCCCTTATCAATTGTTCCTAATATATTTTTAGATATAAACTCTTGGCCTCATGGACCCTAATTATAGATCTATAAGGAAATGTCATTTGGTATTAAACATTTTCCCAGGAAGTAAAAAATTCCCACAGGTTAAAATAAGATAAAAAATTGGAATTTTGCCTGGGAGAAGGAAATTTTCACAGAAGCACTTTCAAAATATAGTCAGTTCCAAAAAGTCACAGTACTTCTGCTTAGTTCACTTTTAATTAAGACAACAATAATTCAGAACTATTATTTACTGGTATTTGTAAGGTATTCATTACAAATGAAAATGTTTCGGGAATTATCCACTTTATATATTACATTCTGAAATAAATGCACTTCCAAAATATTTGTGTTGGAAAGCAGACAAATTAAATGTCTTATGTCATCAACACTAAGAGAATTAGATCATAATCTCTGTGGAAGAATGCTTAGGATTGTATATCCTTTGTCATTTACACCTCTAATTACAAACAAGTATACTTTAAATCAAAAACCTTGTTAATATGCCAGTGACTAGCGGTTTTTTTCTTTGTTTCTTTCTCTTCTTTTTCCTTCAGATCCAGAATTGCATCTTGAAGGCAAAAGTGAGCAAGTTTGAGCAAGTAATCTTGGCTAACTTTCAATTCTAGTAAATAGTTCTGCATTGCAACTCATTTTTAAATTTATAATTTATCTAGTTTGTTTTAGTGTTAAAGAATGGACAGATTGAATATTGAGGATGATAAAGTATTGAGTGCCCAGGAATAGTAGTTTAAAAGCTTTTATTTAAGAAGCTATAAAATTGGATGAGTTGATGAAGATTTAGGTAAATATTAGGAACTTAGGCAAATATTAGGCAAATACTTTGGGAATTCTAAACGTGTTCCTATGATGTTGGAAGAATAACCCTTGGACAGAACGGACGCGATCCAACTGTCATCATTTTAGGAAGTATTGAGTGGGTAGGGAAGGAGGTGTGAGTAGGAGAGAGGTAGATTCACGAATATATACTAGTGTATATATATATACTGGTATATATACTGGAATATATACTGGTACACTGTACAGTATCCTGTAGACCCTGTAATTACCCCTCATTTTTACTATTTTCCGTCTTCTTCAAAGTTGTGTCAACATTCCTACGTTGTCATCCAAGTGGAAAGAAAGATTTCTAACAGCCTGGTTGTTACCGCGGCAATATTTTAAAAGATATGATTCAGTTTCAGGATGTACTTTTTGGAACTTGAAAATAATTTTACGCCGCTACCCATTCTCGACCCAAACCAGCAAATGGAAGAAGCAGGGGTCCATCAGTGAACTCCCCTGTGGACACTGTCTCAAGAGGATGGGATAAAGGACAGGCTGAGTAGTCTTCTAGGGCCCAAATCCGTTTTGGCCTTTGCACTAAGAAGAGTTCATTGATCTGAGTTCCGAAGGTGAAGAAAGGAGAAAATTAGCAGGAAGAGCAGGCATAGTAGCAATGCCTGTGGGATGGAGATGAGGGTTCGGAACCTTTCCTCCACCCTCTTCCCCAGAGGATGTAAGGGGGAATCCCTCCCAGGCATCGCTCTCATATCCTAAGAGGCAAGTTTCTCTGCAAGCCTTAGCCACCTGTGTGAGGAGCTCCCTGTGGGAAAGGAGGCGTGATAGAGGGAGAGCTCAGAGTCACATCACTCCGGAGCTTTTCTTTGGGAGGCTGAGGGTCAAAACACCTCGGAGAACTCCGAGCTTGTAGGATGCGTAGTTCACCCCGCCCTCCAGGGTGGTCAGGATCCTGGTCTAGGATCCACCAGCCGGTACGCTCTGGAACCCTCTGACGCCTCCCCAGTTTGCTCCGGGTCCTTCTGTCCGCTCCCTCCTACCTCTCCACCCGCAAAGTGATGCTCCCGCCTCGCTCCGCCTGCACACCCCCTAGCGCGCCCCAAAGCTTTATCAAGCTCCCTACACACGCCGCCGCCGGCTTCCTTTGGCGCCCGGTACTAGTGACCCGGGATCATCTGCGGCTGCCTCTAGAGGTCCCCATTTAAGTCCCCTCCTCCCACTCCCGGGCCACCGCGCCTCCGGGGGCTTTTCTCCCCCACGCTACAGCGCCCACCGCGTTTCAGGTTGAATCCCAGGTTGGACCTGCTGTCTTGCTCATCTCCACACTGAGCCTCTTGGTAAGCCCAGAGAAGTGGAATCTGCACACAGAAACTCTCGGTGGCTGGAGCCGGCGGACTGGGCATGCTCAGAAGCCAGGGTTGGCTTTGGTCTCAACTAGGAAGCTTTTGCTCTCGGGAGGCAGCGGCGACTTTGGGGAAAGTTGATCAGAGAGGGGAGGAAGCCCCAAGACGCGGAGCAGAGGCAGGAAGGAGCACCCGGCAGCCCGGAGGAGTATGGGCACCCTACGGGATTTACAGTATGCGCTCCAGGAGAAGATCGAGGAGCTGAGGCAGCGGGATGCTCTCATCGACGAGCTGGAGCTGGAGTTGGATCAGAAGGACGAACTGATCCAGAAGCTGCAGAACGAGCTGGACAAGTACCGCTCGGTGATCCGACCGGCCACCCAGCAGGCGCAGAAGCAGAGCGCTAACACCTTGCAGGGTGAGCCGCGCACCAAGCGACAGGCGATTTCCGCGGAGCCCACCGCCTTCGACATCCAGGATCTCAGCCATGTGACCCTGCCCTTCTACCCCAAGAGCCCACAGTAAGCAGGGGTTACGCACCGGGTCCATGTGGCACCCTGGCGGTGGGGAGCTGCGGGTCTCTGTATTGTCTGTCAGCCCCCGCCCCTCCGGCTTGCCTTGTCTGTCCTCATCCTCAGAAATGTTTCATTTTCACGGGCACTTCTTGCGGGGTTGTGCACGTTTTTCAAAGCCAGACTCACTGCACATACGTTGCCTTCATGCCTTTGTCAAATGCCAAGGTATTTTAAAAATATACATTGATATGCCACCTACTGTACCTAGAGTTTGAACGCGCCCCAGGTGTGTGTCCCACCATGTGTGTGAGTGAGGAATAAACCCCCCCATTCCCCAAAGCCCTGGCAAACCTGCCCAGCCTGAAAATCCTAAATGCAGGCTCATCAGACTTGAAATGAAATGCGTCTGATATCACCCTTACTTTCCGTGCTCTCGTGGCTCTCCTGGATTTCTCTACATGCTGGTACTTCACGCTGGTACCCTTCAAACCTGATGTTCTATCATCCCCAAAGTGCAAAAATACGTAAATATGCATATAAGAGGGAAGACTTTTTGATTTCCTGAATTGGATGACATTTACAATCCATAAATGGAAGACTAGTCTGTTGATTCTTTAAAAATATTCTGTTTTATAACATCTGAGGGGGAATATTGCTTATTTTCCTGAAGGAATTTTAATGATTACTAATGAACAGATCCATCTCCCAAGAGGGTTGTATGTTTCCAGGGTCCAAAACAGATAAGTGGACTTATCTTTATCTTTATTTACAGTGTGGACACATACTCTGACTTACTCCTGGCTTCTAATGAAACCACTCTAGTATTGTTCTAGCATTTTAGAGAACCCTGTACTTCTAATGCCAGTGGGCTTCATAACTTGGATGAGACAATTCAGTGAAACTTGTTACACAACACTCAACTCAGAGTCCATTTGGAAAATAAGCAGCAAGAGCATGAGATAAACTGAGAATGAGTAAGAGCACCAAAATAAATTGTATTTTAATTGATAGATAATGACATAATTGATAAAACAAAGGATTTTGCTGCTCTACTCTTAACTACATCACATTGGCTGGATGACATATGTTACGTAATAATAATATAAGGTCTCTTGGAACCCTTTACTTCATAAACATAAGAATTAATATAAGGAGAAAGAGTGAATACTTTATTATCTCCATTTGTATGTATTGGATGGGGGTGGTTCAAGAGTAGGTACTGATCATACTTTTGGAAACTTTAGAGTTGTACCTATCTTGGTTCCCATGGAACATTTGCAATTCTTCATGTAGTTTTAGCTTAAGGAGGAGTTTGTATTCTGCGAAGGAGTGGAGAATAAACCACAAGGATAAATATTTCTGAGATTCTAAGCTTACCAAGTTGCAATAATAGTTCAGTAGAATTAGACCTGTCTTAGAAACCTGAGTGATCTGACTTCACTGCAACTTTCTCTGGTAAATTAATTTGCAGTCCCGACATGCTTGCCTGTTTTAGCTAATGAGGTACATGGCCATCTCTCCTGGGCCAGGTTTTGCATAATGAAAATATAACTCAAAGACAGGTCTTTGCATCTGTAAGCATTCTATAGCATCTCATTTTAGTATCTGCAAGACTTTGGAGTAACATAGAGCAAGCTCTGCTTTTAAAGAAAGACCATTTTAATAGGTTTTATAATGAAGCATGATCAAGCTAGCTGATAACTCCAGTTAAACATTCTATCAGAGAAGATCTAATGAAATGTAGGCAGCAGGGAATGAACTGTAGAATGTGGTAAGTTTTAGAATCCTCTTAGTGCTTGACATGTAGAATAACTAGATTTTTTTTCAAGTCTTATAGAAAATGAAATTACTGTGGCAAGTAATTCATAAAATTCCATTATAATAAACATTTTATCTTTTGAACAATGCTATGCATTCTGATATTTATTTAATAACTTGCTCTTTAAAGAACTCAGTTGGTAAGGTATTGCCATGGTGGTTTTTGTGATTCTTGAAGGATTATATTGAAGAAAATGATAGAATGTCTTCCAAGCTTAAATAATTTTGGAAAAACATCTGTTCTTTTTTCACACTTACATAAAGAAAATGAGAATAAAATTGGCTTGAGTGGTTGAGTGTACCTTTCTTAGGGAAAAAAAGAAACATATTGTATGTAGAATGACTATTATCTTTCACTATTGGAACAATTGTAGAAGATAGCTCCACAGGGAATTCAGAAAACTTGCCAATCTGAGGAAGACTAGTTTGCATTTCAGTTTATTTCATTTGAATAATTTGATCATATAGACTTATTGGCAACAAGTGTTATGTCTTTATATTTAATCTGTAGTGAAACTTATATTTGGTTATCTTTCTTAAAATTGTATATAGGTTATTGTGAGTTCTAATTAAAACAAAACCATCCAAATGCGCTAAAATTGATTTTAACTTCATGCTCATATTGTTTTTTGGTTGTCCTTTTAGAGGTAGTAACCGCCCAGATAATGTTCCATTCAATTATCCAATGTACGCAAATACATTTGTTTAGTATTTGCTTACTGAAGTTGTCTTTTGAGGATTATAATGTTTTAAAAAGATTCTTGTCTTCTTAGTGATTTTTGGTCATTTGAAAAGTAGTATAAAATGTAACTTCATAGCTTTAATCTTCTTAACATTCAAGAGTCTTGATTTGGAATTTTCCCTTTAAAGTGGGATTGGAAAGAAGGCTCTGTCATATTTAGCACAGAGCCAGGGCACTCCTGCTGCATTTGAGAGCTGGTGGAGTGTTTCTGTGTATCTCTTTCACAACCTCTGTAGATAAAACCCTTAAGCCCTTCTTAGGTTATGAATGTGGAGCAAAGAACTGATGGAGAAAGTTGGAATCTATACTCCATTGCCACCAAATAGCTACTTGAGAATGTAAGCTACTAGATTTCATATTGTTAAATAAACCAAGTCAATTAAACCCTTAAAAATTGAAAAAATAACAACAAAACCCAACCATCCATTCTATTAGATCAGATAACTGGTTGTTTCTTACCCACTTCTAAAGCAATTTTATTTCATGATATTTCAGTCCTGAAAAATGGACCCTGGACTAGATTAGCATCTGATATATTTGTTCAAAATCCTTTACCTGTTGAGAGTGTTCCCAAATCTTTTCCATTTTGCTGTCATAGACTTCCATGTAATTTCAATGGGACTGTATAGACTTGTGTTCCTATCATAACTTGTTAACATCTCTGGATTTTTGTAAAGCTCTTTCCTTTCACCCCAGAGGTAGCTGTATTTCAGAGCATGATGGCATGTTTTGTCCTGTTTCACTTTGTAATTATAAAGTACATGGGAAGAATGGAGGATGAAAAAATATATATATATTTTTTTATTTTTGAGGCATTAATTTTTAAAACAATCTTATCTGATATTCTAAACTTTGACACTAATATATGTCAAGAGAAATAAATCTTCCTCGAGGCTACGTCTTCAATTCTCTAGGAAGTCAAGAGAATTTTAGAATTCTAGTACAATTGTAGATGGGATAATATTAAAACCTAAATTTCTTTAAAGGTAGGAATTAAATTCCAAATATTCCCTACAGATCAGTTTAATATTTTTATGGACATCTGCCATATAAAAATATTGCAAGGATTAGAGATGAGAGATACATACCATCCTGCCATTGAGGGGTTAACAAGGCGTTAACAAGACTGTACAAGTAAATATTTTAGAAAATTGAATAAGGTAAGTTGCAGGGGAGATAACTAAGACAGTTGGTAAAATATGTAGATCCATTAAATTCTGTGCTATCAGAAACTCTTGTAGAGGTTCAAGTTTTTAAAGAAGTACTTGAAAATGGCCTTGATGTAGGCGCTTGCTAATGAGATGAGGCAGGTTGGGGAGGAGGTGTGGTTTGGGGGAGATAATAGTTTTAAGCCATAGCAAGGAAATGGCATTTTTAGGCAAAGACAGAAACTAATAGCTATAGTAGAACAACATAAAAGGAATTGAGAAATCGCAAGTTTAGGCCAGAGAGAAGGAGAAATTTGGTTTCTATAATTTTATAAAGTAGATAAAAGGGCATTTCTGTTTGTTTTTAGAATAATCACAAATCATTTGTGTGTATGATTTGTACCAGAACTGATTGTTATCCACGAGTAAGCTCTGAATCTCAGAATCCCATCAGCACAGTACTGATAATAGTCATATAACTATAGTAACTAGGTAAGAATATTTAATTTAAGCAAGCAGCAGATGATTAGAACCTTTAAAGAAACTAAGTTTCACTCTTAAAGAAACCATATTTTCTTTTCCACTCACTTCAGAATGTTCCCATTGAAAATCCTCTAATTATGTGCCACAAACTAGCACTGTGGATTCCTCACCTACCTAGGCAAACTGGACATAGATGAGAATTGAACCTGAAGTTGGTTTTTGAGATTGATCTTTCCTGTTTTTGTGGAGGAGTTAAATTCTGACCTAATGTTATTATAATACCTTCCAATTTAAGTTTGATCATTAATTTGACATTACAGTCTGTGAAGTAAAATTGAAGTCACAGAAATTTTTATAATAATGTACGATACCAGGTTGCTAAAATCCTATTTGGGTGTTTTGAAGCAGTCAGGTTGTGTGACCCTAAAACGGGGTTTATAATGAAAATACTGACAAGCCCTTAAATAGAGTAGCTCTAAAGACTGCCTGAGAATATAAATGACCAGCCTCTCTGCACTACTGGGCCACATTTGCAAGCTCCTGCTACTTGTTATTTCACTAAAGAGTTGGGTTTGGATTCCTAACGGGAATGGGTGGAAGACAGGCCGATGTTCCTATTGTTGCTGTTTGCAGGTTAGAAGGCATATGGACACATTTTTTTCCCTCTGTCTGCCTAGCAATGGAGGGTCTCCATGGTATCCTAGCAACCATATTCGAACACTAGGCTGCTGCTCTTTCTGCCATCTCTACCATAGGTGCTGCTACCCATCCCAAGGAACTGGACCTATTGCTAGCATTCCAGACCCTCTGACTTA